TAGAAACCAAAATGAGTGAAAAATTGTAGTGCCATCACTTCTCTGTGCCATTTGTAGTGCCATCACTTCTCTGATCCTTCAGTTATACTGCACATAAGCAAACAAGCAAGAGCAAGAATATCATAAACTAGTAGAGCAATAAACTCTTTCTGTCATGAAACCATGATTGCATTAGGCTTTACTTCCAAGTTCCAAGGTGTTTGGTGCTTGTAGGACATTGATGTCAAGTTTTACTGAAGGTATTGGTAAGAGGTGCAGGAATTGGTGTTCTGCTCACTCCAAGGAAGCAAAAGATTAAAATGAAATAAAAAAGTGAAGACACACGGGTAGGATGCTTAGAGGAGAATGGATAATTAGAAGAGTATGAATTATACTCATCATTCAGTTATAAGGAGCTGGTTCTTTTTTCCCATTGAATGATAGATTCTGAACTAACAATAAAATAATCGATGTTTCTGAAAGCAGCTTTCAAAATTTGATCTTTATGTAAACTTGCTACTGGTGTTAGAGTTCTATTGTGTTTTATGATTGTATGTATACATGTATGTACATTGATCTTAAGCACTCTTTTTATGTATATAAAAAAATTAAATTGGACTCTATAAAAAGAATCTGACAGTCCTTTACTTGCGATAGTGTGTGAGTATGCATGTGTGGCTTTAAGATTTCTCTTGCAGGTGTAATACTGCCTAAGTGTTTAAATGGTAAATTCATAATTTTAAGAAACAAATGACAATGATGTCTAAAGACACTGTTTGAACTATAACAGCATAACACCAGCAGTTCTTATGGGTCTACAGTTGTGTTTCTTCTGTATTTAAGGTGGCCTAAGACATGCAGTAGCCAGTATAGCAGGTCTCGAGGCTTACAAATACATGAAATTTGAAGGAGGAGTGCATCGTGTTCAGCGGGTACCAAAGACAGAAAAACAAGGACGCATTCATACCAGCACAATGACTGTTGCCATATTACCCCAACCCACTAAGGTAATATTTATGTTTCAGTATAACAGACTTTACGACAAGCAATGTTTGATACCCGAGTGGTTTTGTCTCTCTTTTTATTCTCACTTAACGACTTTTTTTTCTTCTTAATTTTAAACTAAGTCATATTTATTTGTTTATTTTTATTTTTTATAATAAGGGTGAAATAAAGAATTTCCGTCTTTCCTTGTAATCCTGATCTCAAGAAAGTCACTGACAGTTCACTTAACTATAACTCAAAAATTCACTGTTACTCTGTCTTGCATGTTTTGTGGAAAACTACATTTTCTACAAAGTAACCTAAGACTGACTTATTTTACAGGGCTCATAGATACTTATTTTAGCACTTCCTCTTTTCTATTTTTGTACTGTCCTCACTTGCCCCTTCCAGAGTGTATACGTCAAGTCTCACTATATTTGCTTGGTTAAAAGCAACTGGCTAAGAAATAAAGCTTTGTTTTGATCTTTGTTTCATGTTGAACTAGCAGATTGTCAAAGATGTTACTCCTTCCTGTACTCTCTTGAAGTTATCTCACTCCTTTCTCACAGAGCCTACTGCTCCATTCCAGAACCAGAAAAGGGAATATCTTCCATTTTAACTAAAAACCATCTGGTATCAAGTTCAAGTATTGGTTAACTCTGCTGGAAGAAGAGGGTGCAGGGCTTTCAGAAGAGGGGAAAATGAGTGCTAAGGGATAGTTATGTGTTAAGCTACTATTTGTCTGATTTCCTGGGTTCCATTGTGTTGGAAGTCCAGTCCGACTACGAAGATTTGTTAATATGTTTACACGTAGACGTGAGCTACCACTCATAATCTTTAAAAAGTTTGATCTTGCATGAATGTGCCTTATAAAATAAACTGACTGTACATATTTGATACCTGTATGGAAAGAAACAATATAAATACGTTCTTTGTTTGTTTTTCTTTTTTTTTTTATCTCATGACAGATGAGGCTGCAAATTAATCCAAAAGATCTACGGATAGAAACAAAGCGAGCTAGTGGAGCTGGAGGCCAGCATGTCAATACCACAGATAGTGCTGTAAGGATAGTTCATATTCCAACAGGTGCTTCATTTTTTCCTTACTATAAGATCTACATTGCCAAACTGTTGTCAGAATCTCTTTTGAAACTATAGTTGTATTTTCAAACCTGGACAACAACAGAGCAGAGTTTTCATATAGTTTTCATGTCTGTTCATAGTACTCTAAATGCATCATCCTGTGCCCACTCCAATTTTTAATACTAAGGACTACTGGCTTCAGTAGGTAAGCTATGCATTTGCCACTAAACATCACACTCTACAAGCACCCAGATCAATTTCTGTCAAAAAGTTATATTTAAGCTTTCAAATAATGAAAATGATACTGAAAAATGGAGTAGGTTGAAATCTGATGATTTGCCATTTCTTGACTAGTCTCCAAAAGAGAGATTGCTCTATTTCCATATTAAAATGTTGCTTTTAATTGCAGAGTCTATTCAGGATGCCAGCTTCCATTTGTCTGCTGGCTCCTTTCCTATAGATGACACAGATAATTAGGAGGCCCATCCCTCTGGCTCAGGTTAGGAAAGATAGGAGGGATATGGTACACCCTCAAATGCTACCTGATTTTAGCTATCATATTTTTTTTTATTGCCGTTCCTAACCCTTTTACTTCCCTTTGAGCAATCTTCAACAGCTGCCTTGACTTTCATGGCATTTTAACTTTCCTCTTCTCTACTACAAACATTACTCAGGCTTTACAGCCTCAGGGTAATCCCAAGTGCTCTTTATCTTCACGTATCCAGATTTTTGCCACTGATCTCTTTGTATTTGTTTAAGACATTGATCCATTCTGCACTTGTTGCATCACCTTAATAAAGTAGAAGATAAACAGTAGATAGGATAAAATTCTATATATCACTATGTCGTGACAAAAGATACTCCAGATTGAAAAAGTTTTGGATTGCCTGCGTGTTTGGATAAAAACACAACAAACTAAAACCAGCAGTTGATCTTAGTTTTTGCTGAATGTAGATATTAGGGTATGTTATAGAAATGTTAAGGTGTATTGCAAATATTTTCATGGTTATATATGGCCAATAGGAGGATTTATATATCCCCTTATCTCTTCACTTTTTCCTGTTCCACCATTCTCTTCTTCATTTCTCTGATCTCACTTCCCTTACAATTGTCCTGTTACTTCTATTTCTCTCATCCTAAATATTGTTTAAATCTTCACTGCAATCCAGCAGGTTGTTTATAAATAAGTCTTTCATAAAGTAATACTATGTAGTCTTATAAAACGTACTTTAATATTACCAGAGTTACTTAAAATAGATCCAAATAACGATTTAGCTTGTGCTGTTTTTTTCCTGTATTTCTTCTCTCTACTCCTTTCTTGGGCTGTTCATTTCTTGTCTTGAATTATATGTTTTGGGATGAGAAAACACACTTTTTGTTGTTGTTGTTCATAAAATATAGTGCCCACTTTTTTATATTCTGATTGTATTCGATACACTCGTTATCTCATGTATTTTACTGCTCCTTAAATCTTACATTTCCTGGAACTGTGGCAAAAAATTACAAGTATTCAAGGTGTCTTCTGTAAGTCAGATCACATTACATATCTTTTATTTCATTATACACCTGTTGTCCAACATGTGGAATTAAATTTCTTGTCATATGGCTTAAAACACCTGTACAACTTAGCCTGCGCTTCTTTCCCAAAATGTATTATTAGACATTAGTAAGTCTGGACTTCTACATTCCCAGTCCAAAATAAATATGGAAGAAAGAAACAGTTTAATGTAACATAATAGAAGTCTTCTAGAAACTGCAAAACTATTTTAGTATGTGTTACTCTTAAGTGCTAAATGTCATGATATTTTTGACAGGGATCGTGTCTGAATGTCAGCAAGAAAGATCTCAAATTAGAAATAAAGAGAAAGCTATGCAAATGCTATGTGCTAAACTATACAATGCCAAATTAGAAGAAGAAACTAAAAAGAGAAACAGTGTTCGAAAGATTCAGGTAAGTTTTGTTTAGTTACAATATCATTCTGTACAAGCATGTGTTCTTAGGGTAACTTCTGTGTTGAACTGCAAATAGTAAATGGAAACATAGGGGAACCAGAGCCCAGGAGGGACTTACATGAGGAAAAAAAAATATCATAGAATGGTTTGGGTTGGGAGGGATTTTAAAGGTCATCTAGCTCCAGCCCCTCTGCGATGGACAGGAACACCTTCCAGTAGACTTCCCTGAAAAACAAGAAGTTGTGGAGTCCACAGCTTCTCTGGACAACAAAATTACATTTTACTTCAGCAGTAGAGGTTGTATATTTACCAGACTTAAAATTTCACTGGTACATAAATTCTAGAGATCCAGTGAAACAAACTTCATGTTTGATTGCAGCATGAAGAACCAGAATAGTATTAGAAAAAGATGGAGTAAAATTGTTCTTTTATATGTTTGAGAACAATTACTGCAGCCACTGAAGTGATCTGAGTCATATGTAACTATAACAAATTTTGGATAATCATGAGAGGAAAAGAAACCTTTCACTTTAGATGCTTAATCAATATTTCATAATTTTTATAAAAAGATGATGATAAACTCATTCTTTTTGTTCAATAGATTGGGACTAAAGGAAGATCAGAGAAGATCAGAACATACAACTTTCCACAGGACCGGATTACGGACCACAGAATAAGCAGATCAGTGCATCATGTTGAATCTTTCATGCTAGGAGAAGAAATGCTAGATGAAATGATACAAACTCTGAGAGAATATGCTGATTTTGAATCTTTAATGGAAATTATTTCAGAAAATGAAAAACAAAATTCCTCCTGAACATTACCCTTTATCAGCCCATTAGAACAGAATGTTGTAAGGTCTGCAAGGAAGCCTCTTGGAATACCACCCAGAAAATGGAACTGCTTTTCAGGTCATGAAAAACACCACAATTTCTTTCCTCATGACTAATAAACAGTTTTCTTACTTGCTGAGTAAAAGACTTTATTATCTTCATATGAGATACATTATTGCTGCAGCAGTCCATTTGAAAAGTAAATTTGACTGCACCAGAAGGAACTGCGGTTTTTAGTTTTCTCCACTGAGAAGATACTGATACACCACTCTTGAAAGGTATGTGCACGTTAAAAAATTAGCTATTTGTAGTTCCAGTTTTCATTTAAACAATAGCTTAAACGTCGGTACAGTGTCAAATAGCTTACTTGAGAGAACAAGAAAAAACTTAATTTCTTTGAGTGATGCTACCTATATGCATATCTGTTAATCAATTAAAATGTCATGAGAGGGAGTCTAAGTGTATCTTCATCGTGTTTTCATGCCCATCAGAACAGAAGTGTAGGAATATCCCTTTTTCCAGAAAAAAAAAAAGCTGTGGAAGCCAAGTGACAAATCATATGAGTTGATTTTTGAAAGAATGTGTCTGTTCTTGTGTCCAAAGTGAATTGTTACAGTATTGTTCAGCTGATACTTTAGTCTCCACTTGGCTTCACTTGAGTTTCTGCTTTATGCTTTTAATTGACCCTCCAATTTATTGATTTTCCAAAAGTTACATGGTGTGACAGACATCTTAGTGTTTTTGTCTATCTGTTTAGCAGCATTGTAAGGCATTCCATACCTTTATTAGCTTTGTTTTTTAGTAAACTCTGCATGGTAACTACGATTAAGTTCCAAATCGTTTAATTAAAGACACGCACATTAACTTGAGATGTAGGAATATCTATATGCGTAAGGTAAGGCATACATATATCCTGTTGGTAAGCATGAGACCTAGGTCTGCAGTTACTAATAGTTTTACAACTCCTAACTGGGACATAAAAAAGTAAAAAGAAACATTGACTCATTAGGTATCGATTGGCACAGAAGCTAGGACTGAAGTCTGTTCCTACCAGATCAGTACTGCAAATGGAAGACTACAGAGCACTTGTCAAGTCACCGACTTGACTTAAAGCCAGGCTTTCTTACCTCCAGTGATGGATGGAGTTTGCAGTTCTTTCTAACTTCAGCTCCATATTCATCCAAACAAATAAGAGACATCAACTGGGTCTGAGCACTGGATTACTGCATGAAAAACTTAGATAAACTTGTAGCCCCTCTGGCCAAATCCTGCCTGGCTCACAGCCTCCCTGTTCTCATCTAGCTCTTCAACAGACACTAGAGGTGGTGTTGCCTTGCAAGTGACCAGCCTCTGACCTGCGTGAGAAAAACCAGACATGATGTGGTTCTAGCAGGAGCCTGACTGAGGTATCCTAAAACTGGCATCTGACAGGACTTTGCTGTCCTCCTTGGCTCATCATGGCAAGCCTTACTCTATATTAATTTTAACACAAGGGATGTTGTCTCTGAAAATGCAACTTCTCTGAGCTGTGAGCAGATTGCATTTCCAGCAGCAGCAACAGCAGCAGGGATCCTTGCATTGGTGTCCACTCAGCCTTGCTTCCAGTAGTGCTTCTCCCCACACTTCAGCTGCTAATAGCATTGCTCATGCTTTAAAATAAATACAATTCTTTTATGGGAAGGAGCCCAGATGCAAGATCCGCCACCAGACTTAAATCACAGAACCACAGAATGGTTAAGGTTGGAAGGAGTCACAGTGGGTCATCTGATCCAACCTCCCTCCTCAGGCAGGGTCCTGAGAGATCCTTGAGACTGGATGTGGCACTTAGTGCTGTGGTCTAGTAACCACGGCGGTAATGGACCAAGGATTGCACCTGATGATCTCAGAGGTCCCTTCCAACCCGGCTGATTCTGTGATTCTATGATTCTGTGATCCTAGAGCCCATGGCACAGGATTGCATCCAGACAGTTCTTGAATATCTCCAGTGAGGGAGAGAATCCTTCCCCGACAGAGGAGCTTTGCACTTTGGGAGCGTGTCAGGATGATGGGAGAATCCCAGGCTCACCCATTTAAAAAATCAAACGGAGATGTAGCTGGGCGCCAGGCTGAGCTTAGGCGCGTGTCACTCCCGGGGCGGGGAAGGCGGCAGTTCCTTGGGGAGAGCGCCGCGAGGCTGTGCGGGTGCCGGAGGGCGGGAGGAAGGGACGGGCGGGACCCGCGGCCGGGCGGGAGCCGCCACCGCGCGGGAGCCGCGGCCGTGCCGCCCGCCTTCCTCGGAGCCGCCAGGGAGGGAAAACGCCGGGCCGGGCCGGCACCGCCCCCCGCGCCCCGCATTGGCCCCCGCCTTCTACCCGCCTCCCATTGGCCGCGTCCCGCCCGCGGGCGCGGCGCGATTGGCCGGCGCGGTTTTGGATACCAAATTCAAAGTTTTTAAAAAGCGCCCGGCGAGCGCGGACCACGCACTGCCCGCTGGCGCCGCATCAGAGGTGAGCGCCGCGCCAAGGTGAGCCATCCGTCCACCAGCCGGTCCGCGGCTGTGGGGCTCTGTGCTCAGGGCTCCGCGGCTGGACCGGCTCGGGCCAGCGGGGCTCCGCGGTCAGGGCTCCGTGACCGGGGTGGCGGGGGCTGCCGGCGTACGCAGCGACGGGACTGGGAGTGCTGGCGGCGCTGCATGGCCCGTCATGATGGGCTGGGGAGCGGGGTCCTCGGCGGCCGCCCAGTCCGGCTGCCCTCCACAGCCTAGCCCCGCAGCTATCCCGCCGGCGGGACAGGATGGGACGGGACGGGACGGGACGGCGGCACATGGGCGGCCACGGAGCGCCCCGATCCCGCCAACGAGCCGCATGTGGGGTGCTCTGGGCTGCTCGCCGCACCGGCGGGGCCGGGCCCGGGTCCGAGCCGGGGTGGGGAGCGCAGGTCGGCTCCCGCCGGCGGGCAGCGCGGGCGGGGACGCGCCGCGCTGTCTCCCGCCCGCCGGACCACGCCGCCGGAGGGGGCATCCCCCCGGCGCGCTCCTACTCGCCCCGCCACCAGCATTTTAGGGGGAATCCTGTAGTGCTGGGGAAAGGGGAGACCCCCGAAGGCGCAGGGTGAGGGTCCCGGGGCCGTGGGGCACGGTAGAGCCAGGACCCGATCTACCTGCCGCCGATTCGGGCCATCTTGAGCGCTGGGCGGGAGAAGCCTGATAGCGCCGCGGGGGCCCGCGGCTGAGCCCGCTCCTCCGGAGGGTCAGGGCTGGCCTTGATGGGGGGATATTTTCCAATTCATTAGGATTTCAGCCCAAAAGTTCCTCTACTCGCTCCCAAGGAAGGGGGGAAGGGAAGGAGGAAGCTTAGCGAGGCTTACATCTCTCACCTAACTCACACTACTCAAAGCCATAAGCGTATTTGCTCCTTTCTTCCACTAAACGTAGGTACAAAGAAGGGACTTTTTCTCTGAATCGTTCATGAAACATTTTTCTAATGCTTCTTTCCAAAACTGCTGGAAGTGCTTAAATCCTTTAAAATTCTTGCTCAAATGTGGGATCTTATATTTCCTACGGATTACAAAGCATGTTGAAAATTATTTCCCCTTTAGATTTAACAGGGCAGCGATGGCTTCCTTCTCCCCTTCAGCCCTCGCCCATCCCCCCGCAATTGTTAATATAGATAGCACCGTATTTCAGGGGGGAGGGGAAAGAAACAGCCAAGGAAAGCTCGATTTCCCTATGATATCTATTGACCTCTTACTCTCTTAAAATCATGCTTGTAAGTAACCTTTATTTCCCTCTGGCCATTGTTTAGGGGTGGCTGCTTTTCTTTGTAATTTACACATCCATGTGAGCACTTGAGTTTTTTCGTGTGCCATCCAGCCTCTTTCCTTTTTAAAAATGCCAGATACCTGGCTGCAGCAGCAGCATTGCCTCTGGTCTTGGATGCAAACTTTAGGCTTCTCTGGTCCAGATTGTCACTTGTGGACCCTCTGCCACTGGTGTCCCTTGCAGGGACCGCAAGTGTCCTGCCTGTGTCGCTACATTTAGGGTAGCAAGTGGAGGCATTGGTGTGTCTAAAAGTAAACTATTCTGGTGGAATGGTGACAAAGTAAATCAGCCAGTCAGTTTCCTAGCCCTAGTTATATGCAGCATAAAAGTCTAGTTTTGAGATGATCTTACATAGATTGAATTACATAGTGGCTCTTCAAATCCATAGTTCCACTAGTTGTATTTCAGACACTAGAGAGTGAGTTAGATAACAGTATAAAAGTCATAATGCAGAAGGAAGGCATGGTCAATTCTTTATAAGAAGAATAATTTGTGATGTAGTTTACACTGTGTTGTAATACTGTCCTTGTTGTTTCTTGCAGGATACAAATAACAAAATGAAGTCAAACCTTAACCGCTCTTGCAAAATGAAACGTGATTTTGACTGTGCATCTCTTCATGCTGGGTTTACACCACTGAAATCTGCTGTGGAGAAAACAAGACTGGAAAAATCCTGCCCCTTGAATTACAAGGAAGGCTTTTGTAAAAGCTGTGCAGAAGAGCATCAGAAAATATTCCCTAGTGACTCATATCATGCAGCCACCAGAAATCTAGAACTTGAAGATGGAGGAAAACCAATATATAACAAAGAAAACAAACAAGTAACCCAGAGACTTGATGAAGTTATCTATGAAATGGAGGAACTGGAAAACAGTAAACTTAGTGAGGACAGTGGTTATTCCTCTATGTTAAATACTCAATATGCTGATACAATAGAACATGAGGATAGTATACCTTTGGCTGGGAATCTCTGTGGCACACCAAAACATTGTCTCAGGAAGAACCAAAACCAAGAACAGTTTTCAAAGAAGACTTTACTGCCAGTAAGCCATTATGAAGACATGATTTGCTCAACTCTGAAAAAAAATGGTAAAAGAAATCTCAAGACTTGGGCTGCTATAGACAGAATTGTTTTTAGGGGAAAAGTTGAACTTTGTAACTTAATTGGAAAGAAAATGGGGCTAGATAAAATAGACATTTTTGCCGAGCTCTTCCAAAAGAACCTGAAGCATATATTAGCAAACATTTTAAGGCATCTCAGCGAGGTGGATTTAATCAAGTAAGTATATTGATCTCATTGTATTTCATTGGGAAAGGAAACAGCCTAGTCAGATGGCTTAATGATTGAAGTATGGGTCTTGTGACATTTACTGAATGTTTAGTATTATGTGTTGGTATGTTAAAACATGAACTGACAATGTAAGCCGTGGAGAATATCTTTTCCCAAGAAGGCAATTAAAGACTACAACTGTGAACATGTTCTATATTTACATGAAGGAAAAAGATTACAGTTATTCTTTCTATTAAATAAATCCTTTCCCAGGAGGTAACTGATGTATTTGTATTGTCGTTGCAGTTTTGCCAAAGTCAGCACAACATGGCGGAAGATTCTACAAGAAGATAAATGGATTTTCCAAATGTATAGTAAAGCTGTGAAAAACCTCTCTGTAAGTTGCTGCACCTGTTAGATAATTTGAGCCTGAACCATCAGTATCTTTCTAAGTCCTATTTCAGGACTTAGTCTTAAGAGATAACAGAAGAGTTTCTTAGGTTGAAAACTGTCACTGGAGTGTCTGAGCTTGTCCTGTCAGGATGCCCTGTCTCAAGTGTTGCTAGTCACATCGGTGTCTTTGGGGACCCCAAGGAAGGTTGACTGAGAAGGTGACCCAAGGAGAGACACAATGTTCTTAGGAGCTTCCACATGTCCTGTGTTACAGAGAAGGGCAGGAAGGAGAGGGTCACTACCAGCATAGCCCTAGAGACTCAGTAAAAGCTTGCTTGCTTCCTCATCTCCGCTGATCCAGAAGGGAAAAAGAGACTGAAATAAACCACTCGGCTGACTGTGCGACTCAGGGTCTCCATACTTTCTTGCAGCAGTCTCCAAATTCCAATGTGCTGGCTACAGAAAACTAAGAAGTGTTTCATACTGTGAGCTATTCCTAATGCCTCTTTGTCCTATGAAATAAAACATACTAGATTCAACCACATGGCATTGCACTTTATCAAGTCAGGATTCTTAAAACATTATGAGTGTCTTTCTCTTATGAGATGGAGAGACAAAGAAACAAGGTTTAAGATCTGGCACAGCATAAGGTGGTCAACTAGTTTGAGTTTTTATGTAGTATTTTACAGTGCTAGCCTGTTGGGGTGAAACATTTGGACACCACTGAACATTCAACCCATAGAATTTGATTTCCTCCCTGCCATTGTATGCTTTTTTGTTTAACCTGAACTGGAAACCTGGAAAATTGGTGGGAGGAGTTTACTTTTCACAATGAAAGCTTCAAGCATTCCTATTCACCATAAAGAATTAGAAATACTGTTTTGTGCTATAAAACATTGTGATGAATAGGTTACATGCTCTGCCTAAATAATTACTGAGTTAATATGAAAGTAGGATGACATAATAGATTGTTGTTTTGATGGTCTGAACTAGAGAGCTGTTCTATGCATTTATAACAGAAGTGACTGAGAAAGTTGAGGTAAAATCGGTAACATACTCCTTGGTGTGATGCATTATTAATTGGAAACCAGGAGGAAGGATCAAAAATTAGTTGTTGACTTCTATTAAACAAAAAAACCAGTATCAGGTGAGTCTCTTTTCAAATTTAAATCTTGATTTAAATCTTGTTTTTCTTTTCATCAGAATGGCACAAAGGCACCAGAGCATGCTGCAACAAGGGAGTATGTTGTCTACAGAGTGTCTTTAGCTTCCATTCAGAAAGCAACCCCACCAAAAATCTTGAACAAAAAAAACACCAGATCCAAAGCATCTAAGAATCACAGCAGGCTCATGGAGTTTTCTGAGGTAACTGATGATTTCCATTCATCTTTAGTTTCTCACGTGTTGTCTGGCACACGATCAGCTTGTAAAGCATATTTCTGAAAGTAGTATCTTCTATTTCAAATGCTTGTAGTTCTTATTAGTATGGCTGCCATTTTTTTGCTTAGTATGACTATTTTAAATCCCACAAAACCTGTCAATTTTGCTTCAGAACTGATGGACAATTTAAAGTAAAAAAAGGGGGGACCAAAGACTAAAAAGTTCCTATTTCTTAAAAAAATAAGCAACACATACTTTTTCTGTTATTCTGTTGGATTTTTTTTCCAACTAATTATCTGGCATTAAAATGACTTTTTTAGCTACAAATTTATAGTTGTCAACAACTGCAAACAGCCTGTTTCCCTTCACCTTGTATTTTTCTTAAGCTGTTTTTTTTCCCCGTGTATAGATGCAGGTCTATGTTGCAAGTGCTTCATAAGACTTTTAAAAATGTTTATTGAAAGTTGTTTTTTATTAAGAAGCAATAGATTTTCCTAACTAGAAAAAGGTTTTATGCTCAAGCTCAAAAGTCTTATTCTGCAAATCAGTGCAATAAGAGAAGATATAATGGCACTGGAAAGTATGATCCAGATGCTCTAGTACTACTATATAGGACATTGTAGCATTAAGAATGTAAAAGTACTCTGTTCAGTAGCTGTCTAAAATTTTGTTCCTAAAAGACTTTTATGTCTATACACAACACATTCAGGTTATATAAATATTTTGCTTTTAACAATTGAATGCTATAAGGTGTTATACAGGTCTATGATTTTCTAATGCTAAATCATTTTGAAAGCAGATGTTTTTGTGTCAAAAATTAATTAATTGGAAAGAAAAAGGAATTGCTTCCATTTTGTATCTCAGGCTAAGTGCTCCACAGCTGAGATTTCTGAACACATTTCTCACTTTTCAAAAATGTCAATGATTTAAATAGAATTCATCTTTATTTTCTTTTCTTTTTAAAAATTAAGTTAAAACACCATTCTTGGATGGGATTTGGAAGATTCAGGAGGGCTGTTTTACTTACTGCCTTTGATTTAGCCTGTCCGTCAAATTTTAAATTTAAAGAATTTGAAATTGGCTACCTCTACTCCAGTACAAAGTATACAAAAAAAGTATATAGAAAGTTATAGTCTGATTATTACTTTTCGGTCTCCACTAGAATTTGATACAAAAATTAGGCTAAATTTTTAATTTATCTCTCAAGAGTAAGAGAAATTATAATACGTTTTGTGGCACTTAGATAACATTAGGAAATTCTTAGAGAGTTTACTTACCCTCTGCTCCTGATTTTCTGTGTATGCTTTTTCCAATAGGCTGCCAAGACCTTGAAAAACACTGAAAGCTTTAAAGCCTGCCATCGCTGTGGTTCACCTGCAAAGTATGACTCCTATCTTCAAAGAGCAATGTGCAATCGTGAAAGTTGTGGCTTTGACTTTTGCACAAAGTGCATGTGCAGCTACCACAGCTCCAGTGACTGTATGAGCGGCAAACCAGTGAAACCCACCTCTATGCCAGGGCCACTTCCTGGGACTAAGAAAAGCAAACAGAATCTAAAGAGATTGTGATCCATCCCTCCCAATACAAATTGTAAGATGTGCCATAAATTTTTTTTTATTCATCTACAAAGAAAATGTTTTCTGCTATTCTATATTTATAAAGAAGTTTATTCTATTACTCCTCTGTACTCTTTTAATAGTCTTGTTCAGAAGGCTTTTAAAAGCATTTCTAGTGCTGTCCAGTGAGGTGAGTGAAGCCCTTTTTAACTTCAAATTATGGGGGAGTCTAGATTTTATGATTTTTCAAAGCTTTGTCTTTGATTTTTAAATGCAAACATTCATAATACCATTTTCTCTGATGGTTTCTCTTATGTGAATCTTAAATTGTTCCTCCTTCATTTCTTCATTCAGAAAGCTCAGGTTTTCCTTGAACTGAGGTGATACCTTTTCCAACTTTAAAAAAAACAGTACTGTATGTTGACTATACTGCTAAAAAGTACGTGTTCTTTTTTTTTGAAGTTATAATATTACTTTTAGTATTTGTATATATTTGTAAATACTATTCATGTTTGTCTTGTAAATGTGAAAATAAATTGCTGATCTTGACTTCGTTGGCTTTGTTGGACTTCTATCTATCGTCCTAGAAGATTACTTCTCTTTTCTCAAGTTTCTAGTGTGTGCTTCTTAAAGACGTTGATTTGACAAAGTGCAAGTCTTCTGGGTTTGTGTAAAATGTGCTGAATCCATTCTCATGCTGTGTTCTGCAGCTTGATTCCGTAAATATTTTGTCTATTCAAGTCCACTTAAACATATGCTCAAGACTGGAGAATGAAGGGTAGAAGGCTGCCAAGTTGATTAGGGGGCTGGAGCACCTCTCCTATGAGGAAAAGCTTAGAGAGTTGAGTTTGTTCTGCCTGGAGGAGAAAAGACTTCAGGGTGACCTAATTGCAGCCTTCCAGTACGTAAAGAGAACCTACAAGAAAGATGGAGAGGGACTTTTTACAAGAGCATGTAGTGACAGGACAAGGAGGAATGGCTTCAAATTTACAGATAGTAGGTTGGGTATTAGGAAAAAATTCTTTACTGAGAGGGTGGTGACTGTGCACTGGAACAGATTGCCCAGAGAAGCAGACTCCCTATCCTTTCCCTAGAAGTGGAGTTGTAACTAGATCTTTAAGGTCCCTTCCAACCCACGCCATTCTATGATTCTGTGATGCTATTATACCTCATTCTGGTAATTAGACTGCACCATCTTGATATGCATGTAACCACAGTGAGTCTGTTAGGCATTGATAAATAAGAAATATTATAAGCAAAAGTTTGTTATAAAATTTACATCTGTGTCTACTGAAATTCCTCTGTCCTGAAGAACACAGGTAATGTGATCTGAACAGAACTGCTATTTCCTACAAAGATTTAAAGAAATGTGGCACAGGCATTCACTCTTAAACTGGTGTTGCAGTGTATGATACATTTTGAATTAAAACTTGTGTGTCTGTTCAGGAGCTGAATGTGGCTGTTACAAACTTAACAGGTTTACCTTTTCAGATTTTGAGCTTACTAAGGGGAATGCACTTTCTAGTAGGCCTAACAATTTGTACACAGAGAAAGTGGAGAACAGCTACTCTTTTTTTCTTTTTTCATTTTTCATTAGCTGTAGAAATTTATCTGCTCATGCAGAATTTTGAGAAAAATTCTGTGTTACCTCTAGATAAGAGGGAAGAGTTCGACTACATGGCTTCAGTGGTCACAATTGGGGATGAACAATATGAAGAAATTGACATTTTTTTACCAATTTGTGAGTGCTAAGAGACACCTACCTTCTACCTGAAACCTTATTGGAAAGGTCAAATTATTTGACTTTTAATGAAGCTTTAGCCAAGCTGTGATGAATCTGCTGCAAACCATTGTGGCTGTTCCTTTCCTCTTGCCCAACTGTTTTATATGATACTCAGATCCTTTCCTACCAGCTTAGTTTTAACAATTAAAATAGACATTTAAGATTATAGCCTTCATCAGGTGGGTGACAGCTCCTTAAGGACCTTGATCTTGCAATTTTCCTATCCAAAATTTCTAAAGCATGGGGATTTGTGGTGGCCACGCAGCTATTTCCTCCTTTATGGTAACCTGGCCTGGCAGTTGAAACCTTGCCCAACAACACTGAGCACTGGGCCTGTATAAAAACTATGCATCTGATTGAAAGCCACATAATGGTTGGTCTCCTCAAAGATGTGGGCAATCAGTCCCCACCCAGGCATGCTAGCATCTGCTGCTGAGAGAAAACAGTTCCTCAGAGTGAGGGTGTTGGATATTAGTATCAGTGGGTGCCCCAACTGGTGCTAAGGAGAGTGATTTATGTACCAAAGGTAGGAACAGATTGTTGTTAATGTCTGTGCTGAGCCTATCTCGGACCTGCCTTTGATATGTAATCAATGTGAGAGTCATACCTAGGGCAAGAGTATAACACTTGCCATATGGAGATGAGTCCTCTCCAGGTACTACAGTTGTTGTCAAAAACTGCTTTCAAACTCAACCTTTGACAGCCTCAGTGACTTTGCAGGAATGTGAAAGCTTCTTACCCACATTGCACATGCTTTTCAGATCTCCAGAAGGTGAGAAATACCTGCAGGCTGCCAGAGTCTCCTGCCTGACTGGTGCAAGTACAGATTTCTTCCAGTTACTTTCTTATCTCTAGGAATGGCTCTCCATCATGAGGAAGGGTGGGACATTTCTCTGCTCTGTAAATTGCTGTGGCTAGCAGCTGTTTCTCCCAGCTTGAACAACTATGGAAACAGATTTTTCCTTAACTTCATCCTGACCCTAGCCAGGAGACAGACAGAAGCAGGTTTTTAGGAATTTTTTTAAATCAATATTGAGCTTTGCAGCTTCTCTTTCTTGCACTTATGATGCTATCTTGAAAAATCCAAGGAGCTGTTCAAGATGCTTACACTTTCCTGCAAGTCATTAAAGGCTATTTCAGCAGTCTCACCACAGCAAGCAGAGAAGCTGAAGAGAAGTGCCAGAGAGTGATGATATAGTCACTTGCACAAACAAGGACAAGTTTGTATGCATTTTAATTTATCCTCCAGCAAAAGCCTTTGTGCTCTGAGGACTGTGGAACATGTCAGAACCAAAACAAGAAAAAACAACTCTCTTACTTCAACTCTGTAAGTGCTGGCACCTTAGCACAGCTTGTCATCACAGAGCCTGATTTCTAGCATGTGGCAAAACTGCAGCATGTGTCAGATATGCTGTCACTAGCCAAGGGTTTCACTGCAAGGAAGCAACATTTCAGCATGTTGAATATTTTGTTTGACTAAAAAAAGAAAAAAAAAGGGTAAAACATAAATAAAACTCTGTCAGTGACCACTCAAAAAAGCTCTGAATATTTAGCCCTAAAAAGATAAGGTCTGCACTGACTCGGAGAGTTTAAAAAAAACGATTCTAGATTAAGATTGTGACAGGGTTTCCTCCACAACTCCCAAAGCCAAAGGCTGACAACCCCTTTGAGGAATTTATTCTGTATCATAGACTTTTTAAAACGAAATCTGTTGTGGAAAGGGAAAACCACGAGATGGTGCTCTTGACCCATTCAGTGTATGAAGCCAGATTAATTTAGTTCCTTTTACCGTGTTCATGGAGAGTGTACTCCCTCTACCTCCACTGACTGTAGCTATACATCGTTACTGTGGTCATGGGGAATGAGATTAAATCTGCAACTGAAAGACAAAAACACAAACCTTGACTTCAAATACTGATTTTAACATTTGTTTCAAGCATATTTGTGTAGGATATGTATGTATTTGCTAAACTTAAAAATGTACAGGTGCCTTTCATAAAAGCTTTATCATGATGCTAAGTGCATATGACTTCTTTAAGGAGTGATTGGCTGCTCTAAACATGACCTATATTTTCTCCACCTTGTGCACCTGTATTTTTTAACTGGAGAGCAAAGTCACCACTCCAAAGCAGTTGGTGCAAGCTGTCCATCAAGCCCCTAGCGCAGGTCTGGAGCAAGCAGTGAACAAAGCTTTGCCTGGGGTTGGACATTGTGTTCCTGATTGACAAAGGTTTGGTGAACACCTCAGCTGCACAACAGCTGTGGTGTCACCTTGACATGCCTTGTGGCAGAAGCTAATGGTGCTGACTTGCAAAATGTCTAAAGGCATAGCATTCATATGTCACTTCTTGTAGAGTGGCTACATTGCGGTTAGGAGGAGCTGGGGTCTTGAACTGAAATGCTATTACCTGAATGCAAGGATGGACCAGGCAATTACTGTGATAGATACTTGATTTTGGAAGCCACTTGCCATGATAGAAAAGATTCACCTTCTAATATATTTGAAATTTGAACTAGAGGATGAGGAGTTACAGAGATGGACAACTGCTGAATTGTGGCTCTTTGCCTAAGGATGTACAAATTTCCAAGTCCACTCTATTTTTATATAACCTTGTCAGAACAGTTTTTCCTCTGAAATAGGAGGAACATAAGGATACAAGGCAAAGCATGGTTCTGATATTCTCAGCACAAAATAAAAGCAGCTAGGGTCTTTTTGAATCTGCTGGCACATGCAGAAATACTTGCAAGGTTCAAACAAAGAAACAGACATTCTTGTAGTTGCCACTGAGATGTCTCATCAGCATCTGAGGGTTTGTCCTTTAAGGTTTAATATTGCTCTACCCTATGCATTCAGAACTGCCCTCATGGTACCTCAGTCCTGCACTCAAACAAGCCAAGAGCCTGAGAGGTATATTAAGAAATAAAGATGCAAAAACAGCGCAGTTTACTGACTAGTCTGTAGGTTTTGATTAAATTCTGTGGGAACTGCAGTCCTCAGCCAGCTGCAGTGTCAGGGCCTGCCCACAGCCCAAAGAAAGCCTGAGGATGCCCTCTGGCCAAGAATGTGCACAGCTGGAGAGAGGGAGAGACCCCTGTCCCTCCACTGCTCTATTTTCCATCTCCTAAGTGCTAGACTGGCTTTTGGAATGTGGCAGTAGTACTGTTGCCCTTGGTTGGTACAGCTGTACCTGGCCAGGGGAGCAGGAGGGCTGGTACTGGATGGAGCAGGGTTTGCTCAGGGGCACGGTACAGGATAGAGGAAACGTTGGGGATTTCAGCTGAGAAGGCTGTTTAAGTCCTCAGATGAGGGGGCAGTCTCTGTCCAGGACTATGGCTTTTCAACAGCTAACATAGCATGTCTCGTGTGTGTGTGCTTGCTGAAAACCAAAGGCCTATGGGCTTTTGACATTAACTTGCAGCCAGACCAATATAGTAATGGTAAATGCTGGTGTTGGGTTAAAAGGCCTCTCTGGCTTCCTCAGCCCACAGTGTCACACCCATACCGAGAGCATGACAGGGGTCATGGGTGGGTGTCTCCAACCTAAAGTATTTGCTGTGGGCATATAAAGCTTAGGCAGCCCTCAACCACTGGGAAGAAGGACTGGACTCAGAAGATACCCCTCCATGTTTCAGAAGGAGGTGTGGCTCTTCCAGGGCTAACACAAGCTACAGCTTCACATCGGAGGCTTGGGATGGGTACAGCTGTGCTGGCCGCTACCTCCCAGAATTCCTCTTTGCTTTCTGCCTGTGGCAGCTGTGCGCCCAC